GAGTCAGAATTCTAGCTGATAGACAGGTGTTCAAATACTTATTTGCAGCTGTATCATACAAATAAATAGTTAAAAAATCATACATTGTGATTTCTGGATTTTTTTTTTAGATTATGTCTCTCACAGTGGACATGCACCTACGATGACAATTTCAGACCCCTCCATGATTTCTAAGTGGGAGAACTTGCAAAATAGCAGGGTGTTCAAATACTTATTTCCTCACTGTAAGTGCATCTGCCAGCTGCACATACAGGTCCGTGTCTGGCGGTGGTGTCACTTACCGATCCTTCAGAAATGCTTGGGATAATGTGCTGAATGCCATAGGGTTTATCTGTCAGCAGATCAGTATGTATGCAATGTCTGTGCGAGTGGTGAGGATTATGTCTGTGAGTATGATACACAAAGCACAAACACAACAATGTCAGTCCAACGGCTAGATGAAGACTATGAGAGGATCTTGCAGGTGTGATTCTTAGCCTTCCACTCAAGTGTGTTGCATCTCTGACAAGGTCTTAGCTCCACCTACCAAATAACTGGGTTAAAAGAGAAAAAGGACTGCCAACAACGAAGAACAAGCTAGTTCCTACAGGGCGATCACAAAATCACCCACATACACGCTCTGGATGGGATTAAAATCACTGACCAGCAAAGCAATGTTAAAATCAAAAGGAAAAGTATCAAAAATAAGCCAGCTTCATGGTACCAGAAAACCTGAGTTAAAGGGATAGATTTTTTTGAAGTGGGGTTGTATGAGGTACTTATCTGCAGTAGATCAGCATGCTCGCAGTTTGGAGAAGCAAAAGTCCTGGCACAGAAGCCAAGCAATGCTGTGGACGGGGCAGCAACAAAACATAATTTAGCCACCTAAAAAAATCATTATCAGTTTAAGTGTATGCTATACTAAGAATATTCTCACCACTTTACCTTGCCATCAAGTCACCTAGCCATTTATGGCAGGGAACTGAATCAAAGAACACAGGAGTTGCTGGTCTATCGCTGCCTCATTTGTTTAGTTTGTGTTATGTGTGAAAAGTAAAATGGGTTAGGAACTAACAAAACAAAATGATAAGTAACTCAAACAACTTCATTTCAAAAAATCCAAACTATCCCTTTAAACCCAAATATGGCTGGATAATCCACTAATCTCACTTTGTGGTACAAGCCCCTGGCTTCACTGCAGCTCACATATTGAGCCCCAAGGACAATTAATAAGTAGTTATAAATAATAAATAAGTATGCAGTCGAAAGAGTCTACTCTGTAAGTCAACTGAGATATTTTTAAATCAAATGACATATTTTGTTTCAAAATGACCTCAAGGTGTGTAGGTGTGGTTCACAGCTAACTCATTATCTCAGAATAATCTGTCTACTTACAGGTCATATCTCTGAAACACACAAATGTTTTACAGAAACATTGTATGACAGGCTGGCAAAGACAAATTGCAGCACAAGCTTAATAATAACTCAGCTTTGAAACAAATGACAGGTCCCATAATAGCAAGCAGGCTGACAAACAGGTAAGTTAATAAGCTTCTGCCGACAAGTAGGAATGTAACCACAGAGACAGCTGTTGGGTGTGGTAACACTGCCTCTCAGCTCAGTCCAAAGAGCCAATTCTATATCTCAGCACTCCTGTCACAATATAAACGTCAAACTGAAACTTTTAAATTCACACTGAAGGTCTCAATGCTCCTCAGATGGTTGAGCAGGTTCCATATTCCCAAGCTGCATGAAAGTCCCTTGAAAACAGATAATACTTATTCCATTTATAAATGAAAGTCTGTCTCTTTCTGAAAAGGTGCCAAGTTTTCTTGCTCTTTCTTAAACTTCCTGGTGGATCTCATTTCCTGCATGTATTTTGTCGATTAGAAGAAATTAGAACAGAAAGGTTTGCTTAAGTCAAACAGTCTTACTGGTAGAGCCAGGCAGAGAACAAATCGTTGATTTGAACCTGGCTGGAATATATTAAAAGTATTGAATACGACTTTACGTGTCTTTGTATTTTGATTCTTCAAATGAGTGAGATGATTGATTATTGTGCAGATATTGTGAAATTGACGAACTACTAAGCTACTGCACAATCAGTATTCTCTACCTATACTGCTAATACTCTACTAATACCAATATAATTCTCTCAACTGTAATAATGGTGCTAGTATCCGTATATTACATTTCTATGGGGATTTGTGACCAAATACAATACCTGGAAAACTAATTACATTCACTTGTGCCTCTGCTGTACTTTGTGCCAGTTATTAGCTGTTAGCATGTTAACATGCTAAACTAAGATGGTAACAAACATGGTAAACATTATACCTGCTTAGCATCACCATGTCCGCATTGTCCTTGTGAGCATGTTTAGCACTGCTGACCTTAGCATTTTGCTCAAAGCACCGCTGTGCCTAAAGTAGGTACAGTAAGTAAGCCTCACAGAGCTACTACTGTCTTACTCTTGCTTTGCTTTGAGTACCTCTCTTATGACATACTGTGCATGTAAGCGTAAGACTTGATATCTAACAATTAGTTAAACTGACAGTAATGCATCAGTGGCAACACTGCATTACAAACATTAAATCCATCATTAATACTAGAAAAGCTTAATAATACACAATATTTTAGGATATTAAATTATGCATGACTTCTCATTTCAAATTAACTACCTTTTTTATTTCTTTGTGTTGTCTTGTGTAATCTGTCCCTCTATCGGGCATACTTTGTCTGGCCTGATGCCACTTTGTAGTCACCTTATGAACATGACAACTAACCTTACGCATGGTATCATCATCACTTAATCCCATAATTATGTTGTTACTTACACCACACTTAGGGTGGTATCACACCTACAGTTTGTTTTCTTTGTGCCAAAAGATTATATTGTAGCGGTTTGCAGTTTGTCTAGAATGCAAAATTACAAGTTAATCAGAGCGTGTGCATTTGGCTTTATAAATATTACATATGTTACATAATACATATTTTTTTGGACAAATTAGTAACCTGGCAAGTAAGTTAAAGATTTCTGCAGTGGGGGAAGTCAAAACAAACATTTACCTCCAAGATTTTTATACAAAATAAAGAAAGATTTTAGGTCCCATAGTGGATCATAGGAAAAACGTGTTCAGTTCTTTTCACAAGTTATTTTGCATTATTGTTATTTTCTTTTTTTAGTGCACCTTTCTCACTTTCTTGTGCCCTGCTTTGTCCACCAGAGTGACAGTCCCTCCAGCCCCCAAGTGCTGGTGTGAACTTGTTGCATTCAGCTGTGGCATATGCAGTGTGTGTGTAGGTGGAGAAAATAATAATGATAGAACTCATATGAGCCAAGAGTTTTTTCCATATAAAGGCAGAGTCAGAGCACAAACTGAAAATGCAACATGTCTTGCAGCTGCATTGCTTTATGTTCTATTTATAGGGAGAATTGGGGGTGGAGAAATTGCCATCTATCCTGTGTGACTGTGACTGAAGCCTTTGCACCTTGATTCTGCTTGAAACTAAACCCATATGGTTACTGTTGATGTTTTAAATGATGAAAAAATTGTTGAAATAGTATAAATACTTTATTGATTTACAATAAAGGTAATTCACCAAAGATGAAGAGGACACACATACATTTTGTATGTTTTTAAGTTAAAAAAAGAAGGGGAGTAGTGGGTATCCCTTCAAATGCCCCAGACATCCCTAGACACATTTCCTGTCTGTTGTCTACATTTTTTTTAGCCATCTAAGGACAAACAAGACCAGGGCCCGAATTTATCAAGCTTCTCAGAATTACTCATAAGAACACTGCTAAGAATTGACTTAAGAATAAAAGAATTCTTGGCTCAAAGCTGCACTTAACAGTTAGTTATTAAGCATCTCAGACCTCAGACCCCTACTCTTAACTACTTGAGAGACTGCTGGGAGAGTAAGAATGATTCTTAGCATTAAGAAATTTGCTTTTATTCTTCTATAGGTTAGTAGAAAGTAGGAGTACATTTCCTGAATTATTAGCACAATAAAGACAAAAATGGCACTTTGAGAAGCTTGATAAATACCAGCCCAGGAGTCTGCAACCATCTTAGTGCTGCTGTGAGGCTCACATAGACACAGTGGTGCTTTGAGCTAAATGCTAATGCCAGCATGCTAACATGCTAATGGTAATCATGATGTTTTGTTCGTTTTGTTAGTTCCTAACCCGTTTAAAACACCAATGTTACACAAAACACCAGCAGTTTGTTTCTGTCTGGCCTGATGCCACTTTGTAGTAAGCTTAGGAACATGACACCTTACACACAGTATCACGATCACTTAATCCCATAATTATGTTGTTACAGTACAGCATGCTTACTCCGGCTTAGTATGCTATAGCACCTACAGTTTGTTTTCTTTGCGCAAAAAACGTTATATTGTAGCGGTTTTGTAGTTAGTATGTCCAAAGTGCAAAATTACAAGTTAATCAGAGCGTGTGCATTTGGCTTTACAAATAGTATGTGTATTGGACAGTTTGGTGAAATCATTGGAATTCATCTTATGGGGACCGTAAATGTATGCGCCAGATGTCATGGCAATTCATCCAATAGTTGTTTAATTATTTCACTCTATGCCAAATGTAGTGGACTGACTGACAACACTGACCAACCAACATGGCTAAAAATATACTGTACTTTACCAACAAAATGGCCAGGACAGGTTTATGTTTCATTTTAATTTGAATTTGTCCTTCAACAAAACAAGGAATAGCTGGACATCACATGAAACAACTTTAGTGTAAGTTAGGGAGTTAGTTAGTTTAGAGTACATTAATAACATCATTAATAACAGAAACAAACGCGCGCACACACACACACACACACACACACACACACACACACACACAGATTGTGTCTGTGCAGATATTTACTATCGTTTTAAATGGCATTGTTTTACCATAAGGAGAAAAAAAAGCTATGGAGTTTGATTAAACTGGTTTGGTGTATGTATCTGTCAACCTCACCGTTTTTCTTTTCTTGTCTTGTTTCCCTCAGAGCCAAGAAGAAGACCAAACCCTTGAACCTTAAGATCCACAGCAGTGTGGGCAGCTGTGAGAATCTGCCCACGCAGCGCTCACCCCTCCACAACGAACGATCTCTGCGGTCCTTCTTCTTCCCCTCCTTCATCCCTTCGACACCTCCTGTCCATGCTGAAACACCCTCTGCAAGTAAGTGAACACTTCTTTTTTTAATCAGCTCACACTCTAGCTTTTATGAAATTAGATTTTATAATGCCTTTAATCTCTTTCATATTCTCATCCCTTTTTTTGACATCTGCTTATTTGGTTCTCAGGCAATGTCTCCATTCTTAATGAAGGGTGCCTTAATAGAAAGTTGCATCAGGTTTTCTTGATCCATTTAGTGAGTTGCTAGCCTTTGTGTTGAATTTGGGCAGCATGATGACATGACAATTCTTACCAGATAGGAACACATTGTTATGAGCTTTACAGGCTGGCTATCAGACTTCCGCATCAGTTTTTAAAAAACTTTCCCATGAACTGTTTACTCTTTGTCATTTTGGTTGTATTCTTACTCAATTAACTACACTGCCTAGGCCCACATTTTCAAGTGTTTCATAATAGTGATTTTGTGAGTGACAAATTGCTCACCTGTTAATAAACAAACCAAGCTTGTGTCATTCAAACAATACTGCAACCAACTGTTGTTAGTGTCACCATTGTTACTGAGACGGAAAGGTGGCTTGCCACATTCCACTTGACATTTTTATGAAAGTCGTGTACCACCTACTCTGTCTCGCACTAAAGTCGTAGTCACTCATTTTGATGTTAATCAAATGTTAAGAAAATGTAGTTCGTAAGCCACTGGTAGTTGACCTAATGGCAAGCTCGGTTTACAGCTTCAGCAACATCATGCATAGACAGAAGTCAACACAAAAAAAACTACTTAAATTCCAAGTTGAAGAGAAGTGTGTTAATACTGGGCTAGACAAGATCTGTCTACCTTTTTAAGTTTGTTATTTTCTTTATTTCTCAGTCTTAACCCTTTTGTGTCCCTTCAAAGTGCCTTGCTGCACCACTCATGGACACGTAGTAATACTAAGTAATACACTTTATTAACTACAGGAAATCTGAAGAGGCCAGTGTCATGGGTATCGTTGATGTGTGTGTGTGTGTCTGTGTGTGTGTGTGTGTGTGGATGTTTACCTGCTAATTCCACCATGGCTTCTGGACATTATGTGTATATACAACTTTATATGCAATTTGCAAGAGTAAAAAAGAATCATAATCCCATTTGAATTACATGTTTTTATCAGCATAGGGAAATGTCAACATATGTATTTACAGATTCAAGCAGTTATTAACTTATGTCTGTGCTAGAAAAACACCCCCTAAAACTCTGTGAGGAAATATTCTACAAGTGTACAACTCTCAATGCATGAATTGGCATAAACATGAGGATGTGCAAATTTTGTCCATGGCTTCACATTTTTGATACAGGGGAGTTTCTCAATTTGTGATTTGTAGAATAGGATCTGTGCGTCTTCAGTGAAGCGATGAAGAAACTACAAATTTCAATGTTCAAGGTGCTCAGTTGCTTTGCTCTGGTACATTCAAGGTAAATTCCACTGTCACCGGTACTCGCCGCTTGTTTTGCTCCAATAAGGCCTTCATAGTTTTGGTAACTGACCTTTGTTAGGCAGTAAAATGCACCACTTTTTAAAAGTGAAAATGTGAGAAAATATGTTTACATGTGAGTAAATATCCCAACTTTACACCTAAAGTATAAGTATTGAAAAGGTTTTTTTGTAGGACTGCAAGTTAATGATGGCAGTTTATTGCCCTTCAACCCCTAGACAGAAATTCAAGTATCTAAAGCTGAATGTTAAATGAATAAAGACATGATATTTGATCACAAAGCTGTAAATAATGATCACAGACCTGCAGTCATTCACAATGAAGCCATCTCCCGTGTCTCTACCTGTACATCTGTGGGAGTGCATACTGACAGCCCACTGAGCTGGAGCGTCCAAGTTAACAGTGTCTGCTCCAGGCTACAGCAGAGATAGTACTTCTTACGTAGATGGAGAGTTTTAAGGAGTTGGAGGAAGTACACATTGCTTTTTTTATCCTGCTGTACTAGAACGCATTATTAGACACGGTGGGTATCACAGTGTGGTTTGGAAACCTGCCTGTATACCTGAAATCTGAGATAAGCCATTCACTGTGGACGGCTCTGAAGGCTGAAGGAGTCCTACCGCTTCATGTACTCCTTCAGGCTTTCTGGGAGGAGTTGCTGGACAAGCTCAGAAATATCACCTCTGATTTCTCACCTTAATAAGAGCCTCTCCCCCAGGCGTGCTTCATAGTTTTCCCAAATGCAGGTTAGACTGCTAAAAACTTTGTGCTGTTGTCAATTACAGTTGTAATGCTGTAGGCAACATGCAAGTGGCTGTTATTTCCATTATTTCGGCTTATTTGAGTTTTTTTGCAGTTCTTGTTTGTGTTGTTCTTTTAAAGGCAGCAGCTCTGGGTTTAATAGAAATCTACCTAGAGGGAAAAAATAAGGTTACTCCTTCTCTTTTCTCTGTCTAATTTTAGTTTTAATTTACTGCACCTTTTTAAATAAGGATGATGCAATTACTGTCTTTATTGCCACAGCTTCAACATTTAACTGAAACTGTATAACTTCTATCTGAATCTTTCAATACCTTTAAGCTGAATGATTTTTTTGCAGATATACTATACCCCACTTTCCACCCACTCATTAACAAAGATTTCTTGTTATTTATGTTTTTCATTTGCTTAATAATTAAAGCTGTTTCTGTTCTTATCCAGATGTTCAAAGTGTATTGTTTGGTAAAATGAAAAAGTAAATATGATGCCATGTAGTCGATATAAGGTATTGACCAAATAGTAATACAAAAATAGTGAAAAACATCGGATCAGTCAGTGCTCATTGTGCTTTCTTTTAAATAAGAAAAAATGAAATAGCTTTCTTTTTCCGTGGACCTCCTCACGTACACCATTCTAAAATAAGACCTGAAGATCTACAGCTCTTATTTTAGAATGGCGTGCGTGTGTGTTTGTGTGTGAACGCTTGCATGATCATGTGGACAAGCGGGTGGACACCCTCTAAGCCAGGTTAAACATCCGTCCCGGGTCTATGTTTGGGATTATAGTATCACTGCCGTCTCATACGTCAGGGCCCTCCAGCCAAAAGCATTATCACTCATCTCTCAAGTCATCTGAATCAAAACACACGGAGGACCCACAAGACTGTCTGAGGTGACCAAACGCATTCTGCTTGGGATGAGTCAGTGCCCAGTAAGCTGAAATGTCAGAGCCTTCCTATGAGTTTGTTTGGCTTTCCACCTAGAGATACTGTTTGTGATAGTCTAGTAATGATATGGTTAGATTACATAAAAGATTCACACTGGTGTATCTTTGTTCAGGGGGTGTTTGGCACATAATTGGGTTCTGAAAAAGATGCAGATAGTTTTGTATTAAATCTGCAGATAGCTGATATTGTGTGCTGATATTTAATCTATTCAGAAGGATAAGGCTGGTATTTTTCTATATTTTACTTTTTGTAAACAAACCTAATGGAAAGACCAACAATGTGTTCATCTCTTCAAGCTTTCTTCTACTTTCCTAATGTCCCGGCTGAAGATTTAGATCTTTAAACAGAAGAGTCACAAATATACGCTTCATCTCAGTAACTTCACAGAACGGCTAGCAACTGTAGTTTTTAGCAAATGTTACTCAAACATGGTTAAATAGTATATTTCTTGGGGACTGTGTTGTGTGCTGTGTTCATGGTGGTAAAAGAAGAACATGTCACTCAGTGCAACTGTGTTGCTCTGAAGGCAGCAGGACTGAAATGTTGATAAATCTGCAGCCTCTAAGTGCTGCGCCAGAGCACAGTGCCATTACGCACAGCCGTTCGCTGTCTTTACCTTCATTAAATCACCTGAAAACTCCCACATAATACACAATAAAAGCGACACATACTTGAAATAATAACACGCGGGATGCTGAACAAACGTTAAATCCCTTTCTCTTTCTCTCTCTCCCTGGATAAATACAGCCATCCCAGGAGACTGTGTCAAGGGATTAGGTGGAAGTGTAGGGTATCATATAAGCTGCACTGATACACCACACTGGAACCGACAGCACCACACGTATCTCTACACGTAACTAGAACTGTTCTCTTTAGTATTAGGTGTAGAGTCAGACATTGCTCAATAGTGCAGCGCACCTGACCATTGTAGCTTCACTTCACACCACACCTGCTTACACAGGTTAACTAGGTAGGGTGCTGTGTGAGTTAGGCAGGCAGGTACGTACGTGGTTGAGGTACTGGTGTGTATGTATATTGATATGTTCCACCCCCATATAGTACCAGCCCACACACATCACACACACCTGCTGCAAAACTGATGTGGTTGTTTGAGTGTGTGTGTGTCTGCGTGAGATACAGAGAGAGAATGTGGGAGTCTGTGAGTGTGTGCTTGTAGATATAAATGGCTTAAATGTTCTTCATACCCTTTGTGCACATCTCACTCTCTTTATTTCTACGTGTTTGAACGACGTCACCTACTCACCCTAACCTCGCGTGGACGCTTTGCACTTGCGTCACAGATCTCCTAGCAACCAAGTGTGGCACCTCTATGGAGGTCCCTTTGAGAATTGACAAATAAATAATGGCTACGAATAACGGCTAAATTTAAAACAGGGTGAGGAAGAAGAGCTACCTGAGAAGAATAGTTGACGCTGGTGTCGATTCAGTATTTTAGTAAAGTTTTATCAGCGTGGTCATCATTCAGCCATTGTTTCATAGTTCTGTAGGTATGAGAAAAATGGAGGTTGACATGTTGACAAGTTTGGAGAGCCAAGCATAGATATGCGTAGATATCTCTTGAAAAAAATGTATCTTCACTTCCATAACGTGATTTTTTTAGAGCAAGAACATTTTATCTGATAGGATACACCTAGATTAGCATGCTGATAACTTTTTATTTGATGAAATCTAAAACAAATTTGTGTTGGTGTTGATTACAATTGTAATTGCTGGGAACAACATGTCATTAATGTCTGTTTGAGTTTTGGCTTATTTGAGTTTCTTTGTTTTTCTGTTTGTGCCGTTTTTTAAATGGCAGCAGCCCTGAGCTAAACAAAAATGTACCCAGAGGATAAAATAAGGTTTC